GGTTGATCTTTTCAGCTATACATTGTTGCTATTAAACAGATAAAACTAAAGGTTGATCTTTTCAGCTATACATTGTTGCTGCTAAACAGATGGCTTCATCTTAATGCAACTTTCGAAAGGAAACATGTTTGCACAAATCTCCTTTTTCCTTCAGCTCTTAAGTGTTTTGGAGATAGAAAATTTCCTAGAAGTAGTAGGGGGAGCTGAGGGGGAAAATATAGCAGGTATAAAATGAAGCGTTCACAAATATTTAACTGTTTATTTTGTCCTTAAAAGATCAAAGTAACATCACCACCTGTTTCTCTGTCATCTGGAAATAATTTCAAGACCGACATCATCATTAATCCATCTCATTCCTATGGCATTTCGCCCTCATGAGTTGATTCCATCGCCATGTAAAGTATGACAATTTATAGAATCCCTTCCCGACCCTTCGGTTTCCATACGGACAACTGTCTGAAACCCTGGCTCCCTCCTGGGACGATGACCTTGCTGAATCTGCAGCCCCTCCCTGTGTTCTCGAACAGCCAAAGCAGCTGTCGGTGGAAATGCAAAATCAGCCTCGACCGTCAGGTCTTGAGGTGTCCGGGTGCGACGACCCTGCTCTACCTGGAAAGGGGCGAGTTCGGTGCAAAGCGCGATGGAGACCTGAGATCTAATCCCGGCTCCACGGCACGAGGGGCGCACCCTGGACAGGGCCCCGCGTGTCTGGTCCGGCCGCAGCACTCTCTGCTGCAGATGGCGCCGGAGACGTGTTCCCAGTAGTTTCCTTGGGACTAACTGAGATGACGAAGGCGGAGCGTAAGCCAGGGGCTGGAGAACGGGAGCGTCCTCACTCCCACTGCCCCGACCCCCCGGCCGACGCCCTTTGCCCTTCTCTCCCCACCAGACCCCGCCTCCCCACGCCGCGTCCCAAACCGCCGAGGTTACCTTTTCTTGCTTTCATTTTCACGCTGCTCCTCTTCCAGTTCGCTCACCCGCTTGGCACAGATCCTGCACGTGGTCCCCCCCAGCGACGTCCGGCTGGCGGCCCTCTGCGAGGACGACCGCTGAGAGAGAGACCGCTGGGAGGACGACTGGGTCAAAGTTCGCCTTGAGGAACATGGAATCAGGTAGAAGATGCGTGGAACATTATGGAAGTGTATCCTGAGGCACATGGAGTTCTTCCCACACACCCCCATCCATCCCTGCAACACGTGCACACAGGACGCACTCACACAGGTATGCATGTGTACAAACATGCACACATGTGCACACGCCCGCGCACGTGTGTGCACACGCGTGCTCACATATGCACATGTACGCAAATAAATGCGCAGACGCAGGGTCGTGCATGCTCATAGGCACACATACAGACATGTCACCATGCGTGCACACACATACATGAGTTCACACACATGTGCACATCTACATACTTGCACACGTGTCTACATGCCTGTACATGCATGTGCACTTGCACGAGCACAAGCCCGCGTCTCTGTACGTCCACGCCCACCCCACCCCCGCACACGCGAGCCCTGGGAAGCCCCACCGAGCTCCACCATGGCCCGTGCCCTCCAGAGCCGGCGAGGGCCTCGCACATGCTTTCGGCTCCGTGCCGTGATTATATATATCTTAAGGGACTTGAAGCTCCCCGAGGCTGTTGGGAGGGGCTGCAAATGTTTGGCTTTGTTTGTTACAGGTAGGGCAACTAAATAAAAGTACCCAGAGTGTTTCTAAATATAGGGTGTTGGTGACATGGGGCAGGCGCCAGGGCCGGGGAACGCTGCCCGTGGTCTCTGCCGCTCTTCAGCACGACCGGCCCATTAGAGCTGCAGAAGTGCCCACACGGCAGGGTCGGCGCGGCCTAGGCGGCAGGTCCGGGGCAGGCCGGCTCCAGAGAGCGGCGGGACACCTGGCCGGACACCAGCCGCACGTGCTACGCATCTGCTGTTAACGCGGCAGGATCGTTGCGAGCACCGGCATCCTGGCCACCTTCCTGCGCCCCCCCCGCCCCATTAACTTCCCTCCTGCCAGCGTTCTCTCCCGCGAGTTCCCTTCCCACGGCTCCCTATTTCTGGTGGCGTTTCCGGCCCCGGTCCGGGAGATGCGTGAGAAGGGGTAAAATCAGTGAGCTCAGCCCGGGAGCCCCGCCCAGCTCAGCCAGGGCCAGGCTGGCAGACACCGGCAGCCTCCGTGTGTGGGTGCGGGTGACACCCCTTCAAGCGTCCCACGATGCTGGATCCTTCTGGGCCAGGACCCACATGGCTCCCCCTCTGCCGGGGGACATGGGCGTCAGGGGACACTGCCACCCCTTCTCAGACTCCAGCCAGACCAGCGCCTCTCCGGGGCCCAGGGGACCAGATGAAGTTTCCTGCCTTTACATACCAGACCCCATAATCAGAGCTCTGGGAGTCTAAGCAGTGAGCGCCACTTACCTTTTCGACGCATATTCATCCAGAAGGTACCTTGCGCGCGTATTTCGGTACGACTGATCCAAGTGTCGGTGTCTCTTTTGGTAGAAGGGGAGCGCCACCAGGGACATCGTGGTGGGCACCTGCAAACAGAGTCACACGCGGGGCCGAGCCCCTCCTCACCGGAGGCTCTGCCATCTCTGCCTTCATATTTGACGTCCTTCCAAAGAGGAAGATCAACTCGATCTAATAAAACCCCTTTGGGAGGACGGAGATGAAAGAAAGCCCACACAGGTGGAGATCATCCCAGCCTGGGAGTCAGGGAGCTGGTTAACCCTCCCCAGGACCCAATTTCGTCTGTTGTTTTCCTCCATGAGAATTGGAAGATAGGTCTGTACGTTTCATTTAACCGTGAACGCAGCACATAGAGTCCTTCGTGTTCGGGGCAACGCTCGAAGCCGTGTGAGTGAGAGGAACAGAAATAATTAAAGACAGATTAGAGAAGTAAACAAACGCTTAGAACACAAGAAAAGGTGGGATAAGCACGCAGAGTGAGGGGCCGTGACAAGCCCTGAGAAATGCAGAGACCACGGCAGGGACAGGGGACAGCCCAGGAAGAGGTGACATTGGCAGGACCCCTGGTGGGCAGGTAGGGCTGACTGGCTGGGACGTGGAGGACAGGCATCCCACGATCGCGGGGGACACCGGAAGTCACTCTGCGAAGACACAGCCACAAATGGAGCCAGCGGGGTCGGCCTCGGGGGCCCGGGGCCCTTTAGCTGCTTGGAGTGGGGTGTGGAGACAGGGGCTGGTTCCGAGGTGCCTCCCGGCTCAGTCTCACTGGTCACCGGTGGGTGAGCTCAGCCAGGTGGGGCAGGAACGTGGGGACTGAGCCCAACATCCAAGCCTCGGGGATGTGGGGAAATCGGAAAAATTGGGTGAAATTCTACCAAAACAGAAATACTTGAGTTCCATCCTCGTCCCTGGGGATGTGAAGTTTTGCGGGTATCAGGGCTGACGTGTGTGGCACGTGGTCACTCGAAATAACTAAAATCCCAATGCTCTGGCTTATTTGATCATCTCTACAAAGTTAGAGTATTCCTAAATCCCCGTGGTCATTAATTCCCCAAATAAGGTGCAAAAGAACTCTTCCAAACTGAGCCCCGGTTTTGTCTTTTCTGCTTAAAGTAGAATAATCTGTCGTGTTTTAAAGAAGCAACTCCCAGACAAGGGCCCTCCAATCAGAGGCGAAATCTCTGCGCCGACAGAGGGCGGTTTGGTTACGGCAGAAATCACGAAGGACGCCCCTCACATGCTGCTCCCTCACAATATTTGGGTGGGGCGGCCTTCAAATTCGTCCGTACTTCTTGGCAAAGGGCAGAACCGAGACGTGGCCCAGGTAAGAGTAAGTTATCTTGACGTCTTTAAACCGAGGCAGCTGAAACCCCAGAAGCGGATACTCCACCCCGACCGGCTCCGCGCTCCTGCCCGATGAGGTCAGACGGCTCAAGCCGCTGCGGCCCAGCGCCTGGCCACCCCCCAGCCAGCCCGGCGTGTCCCGTCTGACGCTGCGCAGTTGCCACTCGACACATCGCCGACTTCGCCCGGCATGGCGTGTGGGCCTGGGAGTCGCCAGCGCCCGGGCTGTGAGCAGCGCACACTTTGTAGCGGTTCGCAGCAGCGCAGAGCTGGACTCGGGTGAGCGTGTTTCCTGTGCTCCTCCCTCCGACGCCGGACCGGCTGCAGACGTTGCCCCTCCAGACGTCTCTGGATGGTGACGACAGGGCACTTCTCTGTTCCCTTAATGACACTGTGCTCAGGGCCACCGACACCAGGCAGCGTTGAAGCCTCCATGAACGCAATCACCCTCGGTTCTGTTTTTCATTCACAAACAGTTGGATCTCCTGCCACTTCCCACCAAGCCTGAATCAGAACCACTGGATTTCGGGCATGGAAGCATCTGGGAGGCAGCCAGCGCCAGCCCTCCCGCCCACCTGCCTCCTCTGCTCCCACCGCCCCCATGCCCGGCCCAGACCACCACGCTGGGCCCGCACCTGTGCCTGCCACCACCGCCCCACTCCTCAGTGGACCTCACATTGCGGAACGTCCCCAGCTGTCCTGGCCCAGCCCGGGACCTCCACCTCCACCTCCACCTCCGGGCCAGGCATGGTGACACCCACTGGACACGAGTTCCCGCCGGCTGGGGCTGGCGCAGTAGCTGTGGGCTCGGCGTCTCGGGTGTTCAGTAGCTGGGGCGGCCCGGAGAGAACTCGGCTCAACTCACCCCCAGGTCGAGTGTACCTAACCCAAAATGCTTGGGACGAGAAGTGTTTCCTAGTTCTGACTTTTTCAGATTTGGGAATGTTTGTGTTTATGTGTACCGGTGGAGTGTCCCAGATCCGAACATCTGAAATCCCAAACTCAGAGGAAATGCTCCCTGGAGCGTCACACCGGTGCTCAGGAAGTTTCGGATTTTGGAGTTTTTGGGATTTCAGATGTTCAGATTTGGGAAGCTCAAGCTGTGCCACTTCCTGTACCATAAAGAAGAGGGAGGTGTCCAGATGCCCCTCCAAATGGAAAGCCACATTCCTTTTCAAGACAACTGCCTCAGACGTGTGTTAAACGTGTCCCCAACACGCCAAGAAAGACAAAGAAAATAGCTTTTCCTCAAGGCCCCTCTGTGATGCGAGTCTCTCGGGCTCCAGCAAGGACACAGTGACCTTGAGTGACCTTCAGGGGGCCTTGTTCCTTTGCTGTAAACCAGGGGCTGAGCTCGGCGGCAGCCACCACCCCCTTGGCCCTGGTGGGTGCACGTCCGTGGCTGGGTTTGGGCACCGCGGGGCCAGCGCTGCACCCTCGGCCCCGACGGCCCCCAGGAGCAGGGCTCGCCCAGGTCACGGGGGTCCACGGCAGAGCCGAGGCACCAGCTGGGTCTCCTGACCGCGTCCAGCCAACTTTCCATGCAGGCCAGGGCCCCGGGCACTGCCGGAATGTTCCCGACACGTTCAGGAATTATGACACCAACTTGAAACGTGAGCTCGTCCTCAAGCGCAGGGACCGGGTGTCTGCGAAACGCCGCACCCTCGTCCCTTCCTGAGAAGCGTCTGGAAGCCGTCCCTCACGTCTCCAAGAACGGCTTTAATTCGCAAGAACGTTTCAAGTACAAAACGTTCGCTTCTATCTGATGACAGAAACTGTTGTTTGTGCAGCTAAAAACGTCAAAGGCAGCAAAGGTACCAAACCACAGCATTCGTGGCGGGACGCAAGGACGTGCTGGCACACACAGCTGGCCTGGCCGGGGGCTGCGGCCCCAGTTCCCACCACGGGTTTTATCTGGGGACTCGGTTTACCAAACAGCCCCTTGCGGTTATCTCTGCCCCGCGTGTTCTGTGATTCCTATTTTACTTCCACTTAGCGAGATAAAACCGTGGCACGGGAGCGGGAAGGGAGGTGTTTCGGCTGCCGCGACCCCTTCCTTCCCCAGCGCCCTGCCCGGGGCTGCCGCCCGCCACCAGCCTGGCTCTCTTTGCCCGGCTGGTGGTCTCAGGACCGGCTCCGCGGTGGGACTGAGCCCAGGAAGCTGCAGGGTCCTGGCAGGTCCAGGAGCACCCAGAGGAAACAGCCCTGAGAAAGCCGTCGCTTTCAGGCCAAAGCGTGAGGGTCTTGAGAAGGGGCACTGCTCTCTTTCCCAGCCCCGAGATCACGTCGTCTGAGCCTACGCTAAACGGCCCTCGTTTCTTTCATTTTCCCTAAGAAAACATCCAGTTTTCTCTTTCACGCCTTTCCAAATCTGCCCTCCGGTCTAGAGCCTTTGGTGCCCGAGAATCTCATGAAACTTACAGCTGTGGACCAGCTGGGCCGGGACCTCACGGGCAGCACCGGGACCTTCGGGGGGGATCCCAGGTGCTCTGGAGGGGGGTGGGAACAGGACAACCGTAAGTTCCAGACAGCGGGAAATAAAGCAAAGTGGCTGAGTGGAAAATCCAGCCACAGACGTGCAGCGCCAGGACTGACCGCTCTTCCTCCCTGGGGCCCCTGTGCCCACCGTGGAGCCCCCCGGGGAGCCCTTCTGCACCCTGAACCGGGCCCCTCGGGAAACACCGGTGCAGCCACTTTGCAGAAGCTGCTATTCCTTCCCCGAGAGCCACAGATCAGGAAAGGGAAGGAGGAGAGACACTTACCAGCAGACGGGAGAGAGCAGGGAGCAGAGAGCAGCTCCGGCCGGCGAGGAGCGAGTCCCCGGGTGCCCGTGCCTCCCCCTTTTATGGCCCCGCGGGTGCTATAAATAGACGCAGCGCACTGCCTCTCCCCAAATTGATGCCTGCATCGGAAACCGTCGGCCCGATCCTAGGAGGAAAAATCGTCCTATTCAAATTCGGAGAAAACATCAGAATTAAAAAGTGGAACGAGTCTGTTCTGAGTCCCAAAGTGCATTTTTCTTTTCCCAGCAAACTGGGTGTGACCGCTTGGCCACCGACCAGCGAAGACAGGGCAGGGCAGCGACATTCCGTCCCCGCCCCGGCTCTCCTCCGCCTGCTCTAAATTTCAGGCTTAAATTCTCAGGAGTATTTTCAACCCTTTGGAGCCCCAGGTCCCCGGCACAGAAACTCCAGACGAGTCTCTGACAACCGCACGAACCTCGGCGGGGGAGGAAGCGGGCGGCCCCCGGGTTGTTTGTGAGTGCACGCGTGTGCTTTGTTGTTTTATTTTTTAACTTAAAGAACCACTCAGGGTTTCACTTCATTTCATCTTAGGGGCAGTTTAGCGAGAACCGCCCACCTCAGAGAGGCGCTGCGCCTAGTCGGCAAGTCGGGGCTTATTTATAGCTCTGGCCGCGGGCGTGCGCCGGGTCTGAGCCCCACAGATGGGCGCCGGCTGCCCGTCCTTCCCCACGGCATGTGCCCGAGTATAAATAACGCACGCCTGGCACCGCCGTGGCTGTGACGTGGCACCCACTGCCGGGAGCAGGGGCCCCACGGGACGTCCTCGCCCTGAGAGAGAGCGGCGCTCCCCACGCTCGGGGAGGTCTGGGAGCTGCGCGGCTGGCCGGCGTCACGGCCCCGCTCCCCAGCTGTATGACACGGGCAGTGACAATTGCCCCAGACGTCTGCTGTGAGCGTCGGAGAAAACA